GAATAGAATAGAATAGAATAGAATAAGGAATAGAATAGAATAGAATAGAATAAGGAATAGAATAGAATAAGGAATGGAATAGAATAGAATAAGGAATGGAATAGAATAAGGAATAGAATAAGGAATAGAATAGAATAGAATAAGGAATAGAATAGGACTAGGACTAGAAATAGAAATAGAAGTAGGATAGAATAGAATAGAATAGAGAATAGAAAAAAGAATAGAATATAATAGAATTCTTTATTTGCTAAGTGTAATTGGACACACAAGGAATTTGTCTTGGTGCAAATGCTGTCAGTGTACATAAAAAGAAAAGATACATTCATCAAGAGTCAAGAATCATTAGGTCCCACACTTAATGATAGTCATAGGGTGCAATAAGCAATCAAATCATACTAGGAAGCAGTCAATATAAATCGTAAGGATACAAGTGACAAAGTTACAGTCATACAGTCACAAGTGGGAGGGGAGGAGCGATGAGGAGTGATGAGAAGATTAATGGTAATATAATGCAGACTTTGTAAATAGTTGGACAGTATTGAGGGAATTATTTGTTTAGCAGAGTGATGGCTTTTGGGGGGAAAACTGTCCTTGTTCTAGTTGTTCTGGTATGCAGTGCTCTATAGCGTCGTTTCGAGGGAAGGAGTTGGAACGGTTTATGTCCAGGATGTGAGGTAATAAATAAATAGGTAATAAATTGCGTTGGCATCCTTCAGTCTCAAAAGACTGTGGTATGGTGCTCTGAAAAGAGGTCCTAAAAGAGCATCTGGTGTGGCCAAAAAGGCCAATTTGAGAGTGCCAGTCCCACAGTAGGGGCAGATACAGTCTGTCCTCTGTCTAGCCCCCCTCCCCGGATTTCGCTGGTTCCAGGATTGCCTCTTTGCCTCACCGTGCCGAACAAGTGTCTTTTCGAATTGGAGAAGGCCATGCTGCGTCTTTAGCCTCGAAGCTGAACGATCAGAGGTCAAGATTTCCCAATGGTTGATGTCCATTCCCAAGGCCTTTAGATCCCTCTTGTAGATATCCTTATATCACAGCTGTGATCTAGGGTGCTTTCCCTGCACTAATTCTCCCATACAAGAGATCTTTTGGAATCCGACCATCGGCCGTCCTCACGACATGCCCAAGCCAGCATAGACGTTGCTGTTTCGATAGTGTATACATGCTAGAAATTCCAATGTCAGGTTTCCAAGTGACGAAATCCATTTAAAAAAGAAAAGAGCAAAGTCCATCTTCCAAGACAATTTCTTTTATTTGGGAAAGCATCAAATTGGCAAAGTCCATGGTAATTCCGGATCTGACACAACCTGGAATTACACCACATAATATTGGAAATTAGAAACAGCCCCCAAAAGTCACATTCCCCAATAGAAGTAAATCAACATTTGCCTGGTGTCATCAATCTCCACCTCCAGGTCTCAGCAGGGTCAGCTTTTTTTCCCACGGGAAGGAGAACCACTTAGTCTAAACAACTCTCATTATCTCCACTCCTCCGACCTTAGGAATGTGGCAAGCCCGAAACCCTCCTCCCCCTCCAATAACCAGCAAAGAGAAAGAAAGAAACGGAATAGATAATAAGGCTATAAAATAAAATGGTTATGCATATGTCAATTTTGGGATTGACATCCAGCATGTTCCAAGACTGCGCTTTTTGGAACTTTGTCATGCCAGGGCCATTGGGAAGTTACAACGGCAGTGACTGATGTCTGTTTTTCCCACACTTAACGACCGGCGCAGCATCCCAGTGGTCATGTGATCAAAATTGGCAACTGGCTCATATTTATGACGGTTGCTATGTCCCCAGGGGACAAAACACAACAAGGGGTTAACGCATTGTCCCCTTAACCCTGACCCAGAGCTGGCATAGGCTTTTCAACTCTCAGACGGCCATCTTGGTTCCTTTCAGGGCTATCATTCTCTGCGCCAGCTTGTGAAGCTCTCAAAACTGGTGGTGCCTCAGGAAATCAAGGACGTCATTGAACCCATCAAGGACAACGATGCGGCCATCAGGAACTATGGCATTGAACTGGCCGTCAAGATGTGCCAAGAACTCTTAGAGAGCGGCCTGGTCCACGGTCTGCATTTCTACACCCTGAATCGCGAGGTGGCCACCATGGAGATCCTCCGACGGTTGGGCCTCTGGAAAGAAGACCCAAGGTGGGTCTGTCCAGAAGGTGGGAGGGCTGGACACACCTGGGGCTCAGCCTTGGCTTGGTGAACAAGCCACAATGGTCTCCTTTCCAGCGCACCTTGAGCAATAAATCATGGCCAATCACCCTAACGTCTGGATTGGCTTATTTCACTGAGCCAAACCCAGATGAGGAATTTTGGTCTTGGCTATTTTAAGACTCCAAACTTGGCCACTTTAAGACTTGTGGACTTCCAACTCCCAGAATTCAAGCTAGCTGGAGAATTCTGGGAAAAGAAGCCCACAAAGTCTTAAAGTAGCCAAGTTTTGGGGGGAATTGTGGGAGTTGATGTTCGCAAGTCTTAATAATGGCCAGGTTTCTGGGGAATTCTGGGAGTTGAAGGATGGAAGTCTTAAAGTGGACAAGTCTTTGGGGGAATTCTGGGAAATGAAGTCCACAAAGTCTTCAAAATGGCCTAGTTTCTGGGGAATTGTGGGAGTTGAAGTCAACAAAGTCTTAAAGTTGCTGACTTTGGAGACCTCTGCTCTTGGCTAGGGAGAATAACGTGATAAACTTGATGTAACTTTCTCTTTAAGCTGAGTTTGGAGTTTGCTTGCTTTAAAAAATGCCCCTGTTGACATCCAGGAGAAGGCAGGAAAGATTGCAAAAGACAAATTAAGGAAAAGAGAACCAAAATTTCCAAACTAGAGGAAGATTCCAAACTAGACTTACCCATTTCTCAACCAACTGTGATTCAGGATAGCCCTCCCTTTTCCATCATGGTTAGTAATGTCGAGATGAGCAACCTTAAAAAGTCCATCTGGAAAAGTCCGATCCAGAGTTTGAACCGTTTTTAATTTTTCCATCCCTGATATCCTCCACGCCAGGCGTCCCTTGCCATGGGCAGTCAGCGCTCACCCCAAACGGCGAGTCGAAGACGTCCGGCCTATTTTCTGGGCTTCCCGGCCGAAGAGCTACATCTATCGGACGCAGGAGTGGGACGAATTCCCCAACGGACGATGGTGAGTGTTAGTACTCTGGCCTGTTGATGAGAAATGAAATAGCTTGTACTGGAGAAGTGTCGTGCTTAAGACAGATTCACATCCACTCCTTATTCAGGATTTGGTGGTCAGTTTGATGACCCGGAGCGTGTCAGAAAAATAACCAAGTCACAAAAATAGAAGAAAGTTCCTTTAATGCCTCCAACTTGGCCCCAATGTCCAATTATCCTCAGCAGGATATAAAACTCTATTAATTTGAAATAAAAAAAAACCAACACACCACACTGAAGGAATTACTATGGCAGGCAAGGATGATGAATTGTAGACTTCTACCAGATAACGCAGCAACCACAGTTGGGAGGAAGCCAAAACATAGATAAGCTCTGACAAGAATAATGCACACTTTGCTTCCAGCAACTTTGCCATGCGCAGTTTGTCCTTTTAACCAGTCCTCCCAGCTGCAGCCCATAAAGGGGATCAGGGCCCTTCCTCCCCCGTAGACCATACCACTCACGTTTCTCCCTTATCTGCTCCTCCCTGCGTGCCCTAGGATGAAGAGGGGATGGGCCTGGGTCTTCCTCTGAATGCCCAGCTGGCCTGTGCCCTTCCCCAGTTTCCTCCACAACTACCGGAGCCACACTCCCACTCCCTGTCGGCTGTTCCATCTCTTCCTCGGAGTCAGACTCCAACAGGGGCATGACAGTCCGATTCTGTTTTTATATACATCTTATATAATCCCCAAAATTTTAGCATAAATTATACACGGGTAGTCCTTGACCTACGGCCACAATTGAGCCCAACATTTCTGCTGCTAAGCGAGGCAGTTGTTAAGTGAGTTTTGCCCCATATTTACAACTTGTCACAATTGTTCAGTGAATCCCTGCAGCTGATAAGTTAGCAACACGGTTGTTAAGTGAATCTGGCTTCTACATGGAGCAGTGGTGGCTAATCTTTTTGGGCTCCTGTGCTGAAAATTGGGCGCACGTTTGCTCGCGTGCCAGCACCCAGAAGGCTGTTAGCCTTCAAGATTTTCTCCCTTTGCTTTGCATCTTTCGGCTGTCGTAAGTAACGGGGGGAGGAGGGGGGAATGGTTATGGAAGTGAGCTGGAGGTGTTACAGCACAGAACTGTATAAGCAGGTGGGGTTGGATTCTTGCTTAGGCTTCTATCTAAGCTATGCGCAGCTGCAACTCTTTATCAAACTATGTCAAGGTCAACGCACAGAGGCCTCATCACCACCTGGAGATGCCCACATGATGATATACAGAGCTTTTAATTGGATGAGCTAATTGAACTATTGGGGGTGGGAACGTTGCCATTACTTTGTATATGTGATTTACGCGCCCGTTTTCTCAGATTCAGAATTCTTTTGTTGCTACCACTTGACTTCCAGTAAAAGATATCTTTTCTCTGGTTAATGGAGTCTAAGTATTTCTTTCTTGGATTTTGAATGGAGCACCAGCTGACATTATTCTGAATCTCCCCATTACCAGCCCACCCGGATAATTAATAAATTTTCTTCCGAGGGGGTCTGAACACAATGTCAAATCCAGCCAGCGACCAAGAAGACCTGGGAGCGACTGGAGGACAAGATTCCCTGCTGTTAGAGGCAGCAGGGGAAGCCAACTTGTTAGCAGAACTAAATCTTGGGGGAAAAACAGCTGTAAAACCCAAATGGTCCCTGGGAGTCGGCTGGAAGGATCCTGAGGAAAAGCCTCCTCCAGGAGTGACCACTACCCGTCGGCGGCGTGAAAGAGAGGAGCCATGGCAAGAGAAGGAAATAAATAATTTTTTGCTAACTCAAGCCATGCATCTTCTAAATGAAGCTATCGGAGAACCTCAAACTGATCAAAGGTATGAGGAGGGGGAGGCAGCCCCAGCCAGAAGAATCAGAGCAGCCACCCCCATAAATCAACCCGGGCTAGCGCAACAGGCAGCAGCAGCCCAGGGGCCCCCAGCGGGAGGAGTAATTGCCAGAAGACGTAGAACTCCAAAGGTGCCCCCGTTGGAAGTAAAATATGGGGGGGATCCCAAGGAGTTAGGATTTTTCCTGGCACAAGTCTGGAGCCATATGGAGGAATACGGAGGGGATTTTCCGTCAGAAGCAGCCAAAGTTAGATGTGTTACCAGGGCTCTGGAGGGAACAGCTGCAAAGTGGATGGTGACTTTGCATCATGATAATGCCCCCCAGCTGATGAATTATGACCTGTTCATGACTGCGCTGCGGGCCAGGTTTGAAGACCCACTTGCTGAACGTAAGGCCAGAATTAGGATGAAGACCATAAATCAGGGGCGGAGATCAGTGGCCGTCTACACCCAGGAATTTAGAGAGCTGGCGTGTCATATTTGAGGCTGGTCCCAGGGAGCCCTGATAGAAGCTTTTAAAGATGGGTTGAATGAAGATGTATATCAAAGCTGTATTGCCAGAAGAGACCCCAGTGAGCTGCAGCTGTGGTACGTGCTGGCGGCAGAGGTGGAAATTGATCTGACCCGAAACAGACGCCGGGGGTTTTTTGGTTGGAGCAAGTCCTCCCCCACCAGCCCTCGAGAAGCCTTAAAACCTCAATAGGGAGGAATGGCGGCAAAACCCAAAACCACTGCATGCTTCCAATGTGGGAAGGAAGGTCACCGGGCTGCAGACTGTCGTGCCAAGCTAGAGCCAAAGGGGGCGCCAGGAGGAGGAAAAAAAACCTGGAAACCCCCCAGCAAAGCCTCGCAAAATGGCGCTTAAAGCGGAGGAGGTTGTAGAGATCGCCCCTCCGAAAGGAGAGGAGCTGGGAACTCCAACCTCTTCTGAAGAGAGTGAATCCAAATCGGAAGACGACTCACTGATAAATCCAAACAAGGACCTATGACCATTCCAGTGAGATTAAGGGTACCCACGTCGGGAGCCAAAGGGGAAAATGCTGGCCTTGTTAGACTCTGGGTGCACAAGGTGCGTAATCAGCTCGGAGGTAGTGGAGAAAATGGGCTTAAGGCTAAAGACTTTAAAAACGCCCATAGCCTTTTACCAACTGGATGGATCGGTAGCTGGGGGCGGCCCTGCACATTTCATAACGGAACCAATAGAAATGATGATGGGGAAGCATAGAGAGACTTTGTGTTTTATTGTGGCTCCTGGGATGGAGCGGCCCCTAATACTGGGGTTGCCCTGGCTCCGGAAATTGAACCCCCACGTGGATTGGAGGAGGGGGTCATTGCGCATACATACTGACCAACGCCCAGAAGGGGAGGGGCAATCTCAACCGAAACTCAAGAATCCTACTGAGCTAACAAAACATAAAAACATCAAGCCATCTTCCATATGTTTGTTTATGTTTGTTTTTAAAAACCAATAAAAACTTAAATTAAAAAAAAAAGAATCCTACTGAGCTGGCCTCCACTGGCACCGAGAGCCTCCAGGGGGAGGAGAAAATTCCAGAGGAATATTGGGACTTAAAGGAGGCATTCAGTGAAAAGGCCTTGGACGAGCTCCCCCCCCCCTCCCCCCCATCATTCAACAGATTGCAGTATTGAAATTTTACCCGGGGTGAAACTCCCAAAACCAAAACTGTACTCGATGACACCATGGGATCTAGAAGAGCTGCGGTCATTTATCGATAAGTATTTGGAACGTGGTTTCATCCAACCTGCTAGACCCCGGGTAGCAGCCCCAGTATTGTTCTGTGAAAAGAAAGATGGCTCCCTTTGTTTATGTGTTGACTACAGAAACCTCAACGCTATTTCAGTGGAGAACATGTACCCCCACCCCTTGATGTTGGCTCACTTGGCCAAAGGGAAATTTTTTACAAAACTCGATCTGAGAGAAGCATACTACCGAGTTCGAATTAAGGAAGGGGATGAATGGAAAACTGCTTTTAACTGCCCAATGGGTTGTTTCCAATTCAACGTTCTTCCATTTGGCCTACAGGAGGCCCCTGCAGTATTCATGCAAATGATCAATCAGGTGTTGCATGAACATCTATACAAAGGAGTGTTGGTCTGTCTCGATGATATTCTTATCTACACGGAGACTCATGATGAACATGTGAAACTAGTGCGGTCAGTTCTGGAAAAACTTCGAGCTGCTGAGCTGTATGCAAAGTTGTCCAAGTGTGAATTCCACCAGGAAAAAATTGACTATTTAGGCTATCGCATCTCCCATGATGGCATAGAAATGGATCCGGGGAAGGTTCGTGCTGTTTTGGAATGGGCCCCTCCCTGCACCAGGAAGCAACTTCAAAGTTTCTTGGGATTTGCTAATTTTTACCGTCAATTTATCCCTGCTTTTGCAGAGATTGCAACGCCTATCACAAATCTCTAAAAACCAAAGGGGAGGTGAAACTGAAGCCCAGTAAACCACTGGAGTTGTCCATGGAATGTCAAGCTGCTTTTGAGAAGCTGAAACGACTGTTTGCTGTTGAACCAGCACTCAAGCACCCGGACATGGACGCTCCTTTTGTAATCCAAGCCGATGCGAGTGACGTAGCAGTCAGGGTGTTACTACAAGCAAACGAGACGGGGATTCTGCAACTGTGTGCATATACTTCCCGTAAACTAACTGAAACTGAAAGAAGATGGGCCATCTAGGAAAAAGAAGCTTTTGCAGTTTGCTGGGCTCTGTTAACCTGGAGGCATTTCTTAGAAGGGGCAAAACATCAATTTGAGGTGTGGACGGCTTTGAAAACGCCTCGGAAGCTGTCTCCCAAGCAAGTTCGCTGGGCGCAGTACTTTAAGCGCTTTAATTTTTCATTGAAGTACATTTCCAGGGGGGAAGAACTTCATGGCGGATGCTTTATCTAGATTATCTCAATATAATAGTGCTCGCCAAGAAGTGGTACGGCCTATTGTCCCAACCAAACAGTTGGCAGCTCCAGTGGTTACCAGAGCCCAGAAAAAAAAGGCGGTTGATTTAACAAATGATTTGACTGCACAATTAAGAGACGCTCTAAAACTTGATGATTGGTTCCTTGCTCATTCAAATAACTGTACGGTTAGAGATGGATTGGCATGGGTGGGGGCCAAATTATATGTGCCAGCGAAGCTGAGAAACCAAATATTACAGCAAGCTCATGACTCTAAAGCCGCTGGACATTTTGGATTCGTGAAAACCTCACACTTGGTTAAAAGGCAATTTTGGTGGCCTGCCTTGAAAAAGGACATTGAGGCTTATGTAGCTAGTTGTCCTATCTGTGCCTCAGCCAAACGGCCTCCTGGTAAACCAGCAGGCTTACTACAAAATGTGGACAGACCAACGGCTCCATGGAAGGAAATCTCTATGGATTTTATAGTGGAATTACCTGAAAGTGGGGGGAATACAGTTATTTGGGTAGTAACCGATTTGTTTTCCAAACAGGTACATTTAATACCTTGTCCGAAAATCCCCAAAAGGGCCCCCTCCCCATGGTGCAGGAGGCCAACTAGGCCAGGCCCACCATGGCCACACCCACCCAACAACTGGGCAGAGAACCCCCTTGCTAAAATTTTCGAAGCCCACCCCTGGTTGTAACTGCTAATCACGGACCTTAAGGCAGCTCGAAAAGTCCATGCACTTAATTCAAACCTTTTATTTATGTATTTATTTATTTATTTTGTCAGAAGCTTACAATATAACAGAAACAAGAATAAACATAAGTTAAAATACAAGAAATAGGAACTAATCACTGGGGACAATAGGACAGGGACGGTAGGCACGATGGTGCACTTATGCACGCCCCTCGCATTAATTCAAAGGCTCTCTGGCAGCAATCGACCCAAGCAGAATTTCCTACTTTGCTTCTTCTTCCTCTTCACCCACTTGCCAATTCTCTCCCCAAATCTCCAGGGGCAACTCTTCGTCCCCCGCCTTCGGGGAGCTGAAAGACTACTATCTTTTCTACTTGAAGAGCAAGTCTGCCCGAGAAGAACTGCTGAAGATGTGGGGAGAAGAGCTGACCTGCGAGCAGAGCGTCTACGAAGTCTTCAGGTGCTACATCGCCGGGGAGGCCAACCGAAATGGACACAAGGTGAGAATTCACGAAAAGCACGGCCCTTTTCTGGTGAAAGAAGAAGAAAGGTGGAGGTTGGCCATGAGAAGGCCAAGCCAAAGTGGACTACTTTGGTCGAGCGTTCCTTCTCCAGCGATGTATCTCAACCTTGGCCGCTGGTATCTAACACCAGATATTTGACACTGCATTTAAGTTATCTAAAATGCATAAAGGGATGTCAAATGAAGGTTGGAAGTGTAAAAGTAAAGAAGGGACTTTTTAAAAAATCATTTATAGTGGACCTGTGATAAAGCAAAGAGATGTTAGAGTAAGGTTCATATTTTAATACAGAAAATGCTTAAAAGAAAGATAAAGGTGAAACCAGACACTTTTCTTTTGGGTTTAGTGGAAAAAGACTTGGAGAAAAGAACTCAGAACTTTGATCTTATATATGCTGACAGCAGCAAGACAGCAGAAAAAAAAAAAAGGAAGATTGATTGATGCTTATAGAAATGGCCAGTTTATATTACTACTAGCTCGATACCGGTGCTTCGCTACGGAACTTATGTTTGTTGGGCTTAGTTTTTGGGGAGGAAAATAAGGGAGAAAAAAATCTGCCTCTGCCTACCAGCATCCATCAGTATTCATCTGGCTAGCATCCTGTCAGTGTGCGAGAGAGTTGAGGGCGGTTTGGAAACTGAAACAGTATTTGCTGTGTGAGCAAGGAGACAGCAAGGAACCTGGGCGTGGCTTAGCTCAACTGTTCTGTACTAAAGCTGCTTGCTGCTGTGAAAGTAAAACTGAAATTCCTCTCCTCTGCTTGTGTTTTTGCATTTGGAAGAGATTTCTTTTCAGGTGGGGAGGGGGAGTAGAACTCCTTAGCATCAGAGCGTGTTAATAATAATAATATAGGAAATGCTAATGGCTCTGATGGTCATTTGGAAAAATCCTTTCTTAGTGAGCCCCCAGAAGCCAAGAGGAACATAGGTGCCAAACTTCAAGTTTGTAGGTTTTACAGTTCTGGAGATTTTGTGATGATGCGCGAGTGGTCTTTCGCTTTTATACATATATAGATGAAAAAGCAAAAAGCTGTGGTTTGATGTTTTAATTTACTGCAACAGAGGGAGAAGTCAACTATTTTCTCCCAGCCCTTCCTCATTTCTCTTCCCCCCCCACCACTGCCTTCCTATTTATTTTTGTTTTTTTGTATTTTATCACCTAATAAAATGTGGTTGCTTTTTTTTAAAAAAGAAACAATAACAAAAAGCTGTGCTGACTGGGGAATTATGGGAGTTGAAGTCCACCCGTCTCCAAATAGGTTGATGAGAAACGTCCTTCTACCGCTTTGATCTCTTCCCCTTTGCCTCAAGGTCACCTGTTTGCCATGGAACGATGACCCCCTGGCCGCTGAGACCAACCTCATGAAAGACGAGCTGGTTAAAGTCAACCGGAGAGGCATTCTGACCATCAACTCCCAGCCTAACATCAACGGAAAGCCTTCCACGGACCCCATCGTGGGTTGGGGACCAGAAGGCGGCTACGTCTTCCAGAAGGTAGCCTCCTTAAACCACTTGGTGGATTCTTTGTTTCTGTTCCTTTGGGTCACTCTTGACCCCTTTTGGAAGTGGTTGGCCACTGCTTGCTTCCCGGGGTTGAGAGAGAGGGACTGGCATCAGGTATTCCGGCTGGCTTCCCAAAATCACGAAGCAGGCTCCTCGTCCCGACAAAAAACCCCTTTTATTTAGGCTAATGTGAATTCCTATCATTCACATCCAGCAAAGTCCCGGCAAACAAGTCTTTCAAGAGTGATTTTACAATCACAGACCTTATCAAGCTTGGAGAGTTGCCAGGCCGATAGCTTCCAAGTGCAACGGTGTACCAGAAAATACTTGGCAAGGAGTCAGGAACAAATCTTCACCCTAATTAAATGAACTAATTGTCTCCTGCAAAACCCAATTCCCCTTTCGCTCCTCTTTTATTCCCTATGGGAGGGGCCATTCAGCGTCCACCTGTGGCTTTACTCCCAAGTCGACCCTTGTTCCTTAGCTATTCCCTTCTCCTGGCAGCTCTGTGCATGCGCACATCAGAAACAGGCTCCAGCTGCTCTTCTTCCCCACTGATCTCTGACTCGAAAGGCAGCTGATAACTGTCAGACGGTCCTGGCCCCATCTCTGCCTCCGCCGCAGAGCCCTTGTCAGAGCCTTTCCCCAGACTCCAGGACTGGCCCATGTTCCTCCCCAACCTCCTCACTGTCCGAGTCTGCTGCCAGTTCCGCTGGCCGTTGGCGGGCCACAACACTTTGTGCCTAAGGAGAGGGAAACTCAAGCCTGAAACAAACAGCTATTCAGAAGACCAGGGAAAAGGGGATTTTGATTCTTAAAATCATTAAAGCAAGCAACATAGAGATTAAACGGTATTAGAGAACCTCATGGGAATCACAGAGGATAATCGACCCCACTGAATTTTAAAGGCCTCATTTACAAGCCTGGTTTAGCTGCTGAGAGGTTCTTGAATGACACCCCAGAATGAACCCCAGAGGAGACAGCCCAAAAAGGCTCTCAGATTATCCATGCTGGCAGTCTCCTCCTCCTCTTAAAACGACTCACAAAAAAACAGCTGCAATCCCCAAGCGCATTCAATATGGGCTCCACTGTGTGCAAACGCCCCGTAATTCCCAACATCCAGGAGTGCAATTCTACCGGTTTGGACCGGTTCCCGTGAACCGGATGTTAAATTTACATCCGGTTCACCGAACTGGTAGTTGAAGCCTCCGGACCACGGGGAAGGCAACCAATAGAAGTTCTGGTAGGCCACGCCCACCATGGACACACCCACCCAGCAACCGGGCAGCGAACTAGTAGCTGGGATTTTTGAATCCCACCCCTGCCAACATCAAAAACCACACCGCACCAAATAATTGTGTTCTCACCTGCCTTCCTCCTTACAGCCTAATGAGATTTTAAAAAGCTCACTGCTTAAATATCCTTTACAATACACAAACTAGAGAGAAGATGCCTTTGCACAACACCCTTAACCCAAACTTGTTTAGCGCGAACCTTGGCTAGGATTATTATTTCAGTCTGTCGGTTGTGCAAACCCAGATTGTTTGATGGGGTCAACAGACTGGGAGCTCGGAAAATTGGTTTGATTTGGGAAGCAGCTGGAAAAATATATTTAGTTTGTTTTACAATATGGCGGCCATTTGTGAAGTGGTTTCAATGTCGATTTTTAAGGTGTGTGGACAGAAGAGAAATCAATGTCCTATTCTTCCCGCTTACCCCTTTTTTTACAGGCTTACCTGGAGTTTTTTACCTCCGCCGAGAACATCAAAGCTCTTCTCACAGTTCTGAAAAAATACGGAGAGCGTGTGAATTACCACATCGTCAACGTGAAGGTATGCTGGAATTTCTCAGGCCCTTTGGGGCACCAGGGACCAGTTCCGTGGAGAAAGATTTTCCCACGGATTGGAGAGAGGCTTGGTTTCGCGTGCTGCCTGCATCCCACGAATGGGGCTTCGCTTGTTTACGTGGCCAGGCCTCTGGCATGCTGTGGCCTAGTGCTGTTCCATGACCCCTCCTGTCTCAGGCCATTCAAAAACAAGCATCTCCCATTGATCAGAGAATAGAATCAGCTCAGCCCTGCATGGCTAGAAAAATAATACAGAATAACAGAGTTAGAAGTAACCTTGGAGGTCTTCTAGTCCAACCCCTGATCGAGCGAGAAATACCCTTTCAAACAACAAATGGTTGTCTCATCTCTTCTTGAAAATATTTTATATCTGTATCTATAAAAGTGAAATACCATTCACGGATCATCACAAAATCTCCAGAACCATAAAGCCTCCAAACTTGAAATTTGGCACCTATGTTCCTCTTGGCCTCTAGGTGCTCACTAAGAAAGGATTTTTCAAAATGACCATCAGAGCCATTAGTATTTCCTATATTATTATTATTATTAACACGCTCTGATGCTAAGGAGTTCTACTCCCCCTCCCCACCTGAAAAGAAATCGGTTCCAAATGCAAAACACAAGCAGAGGAGAGGAGTTTCCATTTCCGTTTTGCTTTCACAGCAGCAAGCAGCTTTAGTACAGAACAGTTGAGCTAAGCCACGCCCAGGCTCCTTGCTGTCTCCTTGCTCACACAGCAAATACTGTTTCAGTTCCCAAACAGCCCTCAACTCTCTCACACACTGACAGGATACTAGCCAGATGAATACGGGTGGATGCTGGTAGGCAGAGGCACAGTCCCCCTCCCCCCTTATTTTCCTCCCCAAAAACTAAGCCCAACCACATAGTTCCGTAGCAAAGCATGGGTATCGAGCTAGTAAAATATAAACCTCTTGGCCTTCTGCTCTTCTTCAACCCTTTCCTGCTGCTTCTGCAGGGAGAGAACGTCACCAATGCTCACGAGATGCAGCCCAACGCTGTCACATGGGGGATCTTCCCCGGAAGAGAGATCATCCAGCCCACAGTGGTGGATCCAGTTAGCTTCATGTACTGGAAGGTAAACCTGTTTCCTTTTCCTTTCCTTGCAGATTTCTGCCAGACATGATATTCTTCCGATTAAAATCGGAATTCCAATTTTTTTGGGAATCGCCCCCCCGCTTTCCCCCCCTTCTTCTCCTCCTTCCCCTCCCCTCGGAGGCCCCGAGTCAGGAGTTGCTACCGCCGGCGCGGCTCTGCGTGGCTCCAGTCCCGCGTTGCCTCAGGAAGGGAAAGGCAAAAAGGAAGAGCCGCGGTGGCGCTTTGCAACGGCAGCAGCGGCTCCTGGTTTTGCCTTTCCCTTCCCGAGGCAACGCGGGACTGGAGCCGCGCGGAGCCACGCCGGCGGTAGCAACTCCTGACAGCCCCAGCCGGATACCTGAGCGGAGCCCAGGCGGGTGGGCGGTGCGAGCGGAGGCCGCTGAGCGGCAGGAAAAGGGAGCTGGACAGCGATTTCTTGGCGCGCGGTGGGGGGTCTCTTTTGGCCGGCCCCGATTTTTTTTCCAGAGGGGAATATCATGCCTGATTTCTGCTTAGCCTGTTTCTCCCAGTCTAGCCTACAATCCAGTGAGAAGCTACCCTTCTTCGGGGGAAAATAGCAAGTCTTATTTTTTTCCCAACACTCCCTAGATCAGTGATGGTGAACCTTTTTGTTCTGGTGTGCCGAAAGTGCGGACGCGCGCATGCCGGCATCCACAACGCAATGCGCCCTCCCGTGCATGCACGCGCAACACCCCACCACCACCTGCACTGTACATGCGCGCACCTCCCAGCTGATTTTTGGCCTGTTTGGGACCTTTTTGGCCCTCCTGGGGGCTCGAGGGAAGCCTTTGCTGCCTTTGGAGGCCGAAAAACAAGCCCATATTTCCAGAAGTCCCATTTTTCAGCCTCCCGAGGCTGCAGAGGCTTCCCTCGAGCCTCCAGGAGGATGAAAAAGGCCTCAAATGGGCCGAAAATCATCTGAGAGGCGCATGCATGCGCAGTGCAGGTAAGTTGGTCTGTGGCACACGTGCCATAGGTGTGCCATCATAACCCTAGATTGTTTTAAAGTATTTTATGAATGAATCTCTGCTTTGATCCTGATTAACCTCTGGGGACATTGACATTTAAAAATGTTGTGCTGGTAGTCCTCAATTTATGACAACTGAGCCCAACATTTCTGTGGCTAAGCGAGACTGTTGTTCAGAGAATTCTGACCTTTCTTGGCAGAGTTGGTACGTGAACCACTGTCGTTGTTAAGTTAGCAACACCGTTGTTAAGTGAATCTGGCTCCCCTATTGAGTCAGGAGGTTGCAAAAAAGGGATCATGTAACTACCAGGACATTGCAACTGTCATAAATGCGAGTCAGTTACCAAGTGCTTGAATTTTGATCACAGGGAATGCTGCAATGGTCATAAGTGTGAAAAACAGTCATTAAGTCACTTTTTTTCAGTGCCGTTGTAATTTTGAACAATCACTTGAAGTTAACTGTTGAAGAGTAGCGGTATGTGATGACCCGGTGTGTGGCACAAAGGCAACCCAGTCAGATAATCAGTAAGAGTCCCTTTATTAGCTCCAACTTTGCCCCCAATGTCCTGGTTACCTTCTGGGCTGGAGAAAACCTCTATCAGGAACAGTCTTTCGCTGCAGAGAATCAAGTCCAAAACTTGGTCAACAAAAACTGTAACTATAAGTCCAATCAAGGCAAAATGAGGTAATGAGTCCGACAGGGCAGGAGAAGGAATTCCAGATGTGAAGGAATAGCAGTAATGCAACATGGTTGGGAAGACGCCAGGAACACAGATAACCAAAGTCAACACAAGATAAACTTATGTTTGCTCCCAGCAGCTGCTGCACTCGGCGTGCATCTCTTTTAAACTCTCATTTCCAGGTGAAGGGAATCAGGGCCCTTTCCTCCCCCATAAGTCATGCAACCCACGTTGCTCCCTTCTCCATTCTTCCATGCGTGCCCTAGGATGAAGAGTGGGGTGGGTCTGGGTCTTCCTCTGAACTCCCTTTCCCTTGTTCTTCCTCTCCCCTGCTCTGCCCAGCCGGACTTTGCCCTTCCCCAGTTTCCTCCACAACCAACAGAGCCACACTCCCGCTCTCTGTCAGCTGTTCATTTTCCTCCTCAGATTCAGACTCTGACAGGGGCATGACACTGTATTGCAAACCTTGGGAGACATTTAAATTTAAAAATGTATATTTAAACCTTTTCATTTCCGCCACGTAATTCCTGCCTCCCCTTCTCCAGACCTTAGAAAGGTGTTTATATTCAGTTCTTCCTTCTGAAGCATCCACAAGTTTGCAATTTCTGAGGTTCTTACTTGCAGGGTTGAAAACTGCAGCCTTGCAGAACTCCAAACCTGGAATCTTGTAGTAATGTGAAATAGTTTTCCCACAGGTAGGGGTGGATGAAAATTACAGGCATTTGACTCACAAACAGCTCATTTAGTGGCCGTTTTGAAGTTACAATGGAAAAATGGTGACATGACCGTTTTCCACCCTTATGGCTGTTACACCCATATGACCCTCCCATTGCGGGATTTACATTCGGATGGTGGACCAGTGACTCATATGGACGACGGTTGCAGCATCCCAGGGTCAGGCTTTTGCAGCCTTCCGAGAAGCCAAGTCAATGGGGAAGCCGGATTTCTTTTAATAACCATGTGGCTAACTTAACAATGGCAATGATTCACTTAGCAACAGTGGCAAGGAAGGCCGTAAAATGAGACAAAACTCAACCAATTTCTGACTTAGCAGCATAAATTTTGGGCTGGATTGTGGTCATAAGTTGAGGACTACTTGTATGTCAAGGTTCCCAAGTAATTGTTGTGGTTAGCCAGCAGCAGATGCGGATGGCTGAGGAGGACTCAGGTGAGGGGCCAGGACCATTGGGGAGTGGACTGCTGCCTTCAGAGGTTGTGGGGGCTGGCAGCAGCGATGAGGAGTTTCCTGAGGAGCCTGTGCCAAGTGCGCGTGCACACAGCGCTGCTTGCAGGAAAGAGTAGCTACAACAGCATGGGTGACTCGGGAGTAAGGCTGCAAGGTAATGGCCCCTCCTTCAAGAAGATAAAAGGCAGCTGTGCAGCGAACGTTCTTTGCAGGAAGCAAAGACGTTTTGAAACTCCAGACTTGCAGTATCTTAGTTGGTATTTGAAGACTCTTGTGTTGTGAAATATTTCTAGGTAATCTTATCTGTGATTCGTGGCAGTCTCGTATAGTTTTGGCAAGGCTTGTGCTGATCAAAGTTAATTAGTTTGCAGCAGCCTTTTAACCGGGGATTCGTAAGAATCATTAAGAGGTTTCTGTTCCCTTTGGTTCGTGTTTGTTTTATTGGACAAGAGTTTGGGTCAGAACAGTAATACATTCCATTCAGTGAAAACTCTGAGGCAGGCATATTCATCAAACAACATGTTACTGGGACCTATCAAATTGGCACAGACTTGGTGGAAAACCGGCTCTGAGTTCCCACTGGTTTTACACCCAATTAAAAGAAAAACTTAGTCACTTCCCCCCAGTCACCCGTCACATGGTCCAATTAGCATCCAGCCCAGTTGCTAGGTGACCTCAGTCTCCGCCTCTCGAACACCTGCACCAACGTCCTGGATTCCCAGGGGAAAGAATTTTATTTCGGCTGTAGCACCCCCAGCTAATCTCTACGCCACCTCCTCCCTGGCCCCCTTCGCTCCAGGCTGCGTCAGCCCTGAAGCCGTGAGAAGAGAGACCTCCCTAGAGGAAACCTGCATGGAAAAAATGGCCACAATTAGGCCAACTTCAGGGTTGGCTATCAGCTTTGGAAGCCATATTAGCTACCAGACGCTTCCACACTGCCACATTCTTGAGCCTGGGAAAATGGGAGGGGTGGGATTTCTTGGAGCGCATGTGGTTAGACATAATAGCACTCTTCTTCTAAGTCAAGGTCATGTTATCTCTGCACCTGGGTGAGAGGACGTCTCAAATTGGATGGTGATTGGGGCATGTGATGCCATGATGGGTGCAGGGGGTGGATTTTTAATTTTTTTCCTTATTGCAAGGAAACCCGGAACTTCCAGATTCGGGATTCTCCAGATGTGCTAGTTTGCTATCCAATCAAAACAGAACTTTTGAGAAGTTTGTCTGTCCCAGAGTTATTGGTTGGAGTGGAGGTTTTCTGGAATGCTGACATGGATGGCACTGTATTCATTTCGGGAACCGGGCCGGGGCTGAATCCTGTGTTCAAGTCTTGCCATCTTCCGCTGCCTCTTAAAATGTCTAACCCGTAACCCTTGCTGTCTCCCATGGACAGGATGAGGCCTTCACCTTGTGGATAGAGCAGTGGGCCAAGCTCTACGAAGAAGAATCCCCTTCTCGGATGATCATCCAGTACATTCACGACAACTATTACCTGGTCAACTTAGTGGACAACGACTTCCCCTTGGAGAGTTGTCTCTGGCAGGTATTGGAAGACACCTACGAACAGTTGAACAGTCCAGGAGAGGAAGCGAAAACCTCTGGAGTTTGAAAACGGGGACTTTACAACACTTTTTACCACCATCGCAACGAACGGCAGCTGAGCAACCTAGTAGAACTCTGGTGCTGCTGATTTTTCTAGTTTTTTAATCAGATTTTCGATGACGGGTGCTCTAAACCGGCAGTCCCCGGTTTGGCGGCCTGGTGGGTTGTGATGTGTGTGTGTGTGTGTGTGAGTGAGTGCAGGTGCACGCACGCATTCACAGCTCCAACAGAGCTTTGTGCACAAGTGGAGGGGGACATCAGCGGAGGGTGCTTGGGCTCACGCGTGAAGCTCCCCTTGCACGAAGGGAGGCCGCTTGCACGAGTGCGCAAAGCTCCATTCGCACGGAGATTGGCGTGCGAATACAAGGGGGTCACACGAGTGCGCCTTCCACTCGTGTGAGCGGAGCTCTGTGTGCAAAGCACGTTTGCCTGTCATGCGTGTAAGCGGAGCGTCACTCTTGTCCATTTCTCCTTGGGGACACCTCCTCTAAACTTCCTAAAGACCAACCACGGCCAGCTTGGCTGAGACTTCCAACCTATCCGTCTTTTTAGTTCTCCTACAATCTACCCCTATTTATTTTGATTTTTGTAAGAGGCATCGAGAATTACCTTCCTTGTTGTTGTTTTTTTTTTGGGGGGGGGAATGGCAGCCAGTGGAACCTTTGTAAAGGGACGAAAAATGAAATAAAACGACTCACACATAAGGCCTCCTGGCGTGGCCTCACAAGGAGAATGGCTTTGTCTGAAGGCGGCGTCTCGGGGGTCTCCAATGCCAAGGAAAAGTTTGCCCCCACCCTCCTGCCTGGCAGAAAGGGCACCGAGCCCACCTGTCTCAAGATAAGAGCGTTGGAAGGGACCTTGGAGGTCATCTAGTCCAGGGGTTCGCCAACCTTTTGGACCTCAGGGACCACCAAACTCATCATTTTAAATCCCGCGGACCAGAGACCCACCTGGGAAAAATCCCCCAAAAAGTCTGCAGGAAAATTCTCCACCCCGTTTTCCTACCGATTGATCCTTATTTGGGATCGCAGGATAATGTCTCCAGCTCCGTTCTCAGTGGGGGAAAGAGAGAGACTTTTAGCCTCATGCAAGGAAAACAGCAGAAGCAGCAGAAGTCTTTCTTTCTCTCCCCCAAACTCCCCCATAAATGAGTCTTTGTGAGACTTGTCGTGCCGGCGCAGCCTCTTGGAGCAGGAGGCCTTGCAGAGTCCCAAAGACTCATTTCTGTCAGAGTTTGGGGGAGAGAAAGAAAGACTTTGGCTGCTTTCCTTGCGTGCAGCCAAAAGCAGAAGAAAGAAACGGAAAGAAGCAGCCCGGTAGCCAGGCCAGGTGCGTAGAGCAAATTTTCCCCTTCCGCCCTTTCCCCCCTCCCCTCACTACCTCATGTTCACAATACAAGCGACGCAGGCCTTGTGTTCCCGCGGGCCATGTGGGCGGCGCAGCCTTGTGTTCCCATGCAGTCTGGATTAATTGCTTGGGGGGGGGGGACATTTCTCTGCGGACCACCAAAATTTTCTCACGGATCATCAGTAGTCCACGGCCCACCGGTTGGCAACCACTGACCTAGTCCAACACCCCACCCCTCAAGCAAGAGACCCTACACCATTTCTGACAGAGGGCAGTCCAGTCTCTTCTTGAAAGCCTCCAGGGGTGAAGCTCCCACAACTTCCGAAGGCAAAACTGTTCATTAAGTGTGAAGACCCGTCCCAAAGCCACCTATTTTCAGC